TATCGTCCTGTCTGTCGCGCGACATGGCCTAGTAGAGAGAGTCGTCTTTTCCTGAGTTCCCTGCTTGTTTTTCCATTGGAACACCATTTGATTGTGAGGGTACGTTCCTTATGGCCAGTTCTTATTTTTGTCCTATTTTATTCAATCAGTTGTGACATAGTTTGTCAAAATTGCAAACCTTTGGGTGAATTGTCAAAATGTGTTTTTAGCAGCTCTTTCAAGCTAAACATCTTTTTAAAATAGAATTTGGGAATAAGCCACCCAGAAAAGTCAGAAATATAAATAGGACAGGATGGCGGGAAATCTTTTTAAGATTACTCATAAAAAAATTCGTTTCAAATACAAATATTGCACAATCAGTTTGACACCAGCAATATTATGGATTAATGGTATCATGAATTTCCTGAATCTCACAATAAGTAATAAAAAAAATATTTGTTGACGTTTGATTCTTTGTAAGCTGTCCTCAGTTCTGGCTGATTTTGTGGCAATTGTAGAAAAAGTCAACCCACTGAAGTTCCTTTGAATTCTCTGCACATCTTATTTTTGGCACCTGCAGCAGATCATCACATCTTTTGCAGAAATACCAGATAGTAAATTTTGCCGCTCATAGTTTGTGCATTGAGTGAATAATCCATTTTCATCAACATAATACAAAAATTCTGTGAAATTTCCTGAAAAATGCCAGATTTAATTAGTAGCCTACTAGGGTCCCCAAAAGAAGGATGATATGTTTTATTCGTATTTGCTTCAGTCATTTCAAAAACAATTGAAAAAATCTTGTTTTGAAAACCATTGAAATATTCACTTTTATAATATTTACTTCCTGCACCAAAAAAGAAATGGTACTTAATAATACCGAGTTAAGCTGGAGCAGCAACCTAGTATGCGGACAGTCAAAAGATGAATGGTTCTGTTTTGTTCAGGGAAAAATATGGATTCATGCAGGGTGTTTTTCATGGAGCTAAACCTAAATACATGTACCTGCAAAGATATCTGGTAAATTGGAAATTATAAAATTTTGTGAATTAAGTCTTGTGACAGTGGACAGAGCAGAATCACTCATACTCACAAAGATGGTTTCGCTTGGTGCCACCGCAAACCTTTTTCTTAACTTGGCACTTTTACCATGAAACAAATTTCAAATCTCACAAGCTTTGCAAAGCTCTTTGAAGTGATCTTGATGGAGAAATTCTGTTTTCAGTGGAGTTTTTGTGGAGTTTGACATTGATACAATATTTCTGTCAAGTTTGTCGGGCAAGAAGGCACTGTTTACACCTATTTTAGATTGACTAGGAATGCCTCATGTGTATGCCCCTGTTTTTTAGATTGTATTCATCTTTTTAAATCGGTTCTGAAACTTATTCCCTCTTCTATATGGAAATACCATTTGTGCTATTGGTTGTCACAGATTCAAGTGAAGTTGTGAAGCAGGTACATGCACATACAGATTTATAGCATTTGAATCCAGCAGCGCCCTCTTTTAGAGGTCACAGCTAGAGTTAAGGTCAGCACACTTGCCCTCACAGTTCCACTCGTCTTATGTACCTTGGTGGTATTTTTGTTTGTGTTAACAGAAATGGTGATGAAAAGAACATTCCCTATTTTAAGCTTTGTTTTAACAAAAAGAAAGAAAGACTAGGAGTTTTTAGATTCCTCGATACAAAAAGATAATTTACTATGTGAAAAAATATACTGTGTTTAAAATGTCCATGAAGTAAATACACTTGGAAAAAAGAAGAAAATAGTTGTTGGATTCAAATCTTAAATTGAGGAAAGAAGTTGCAGTATGTGTATAAAAGTCCCACAGCTTTGTGTTGGCTGTTTTTTTGTAAGAAAAATTTTAAATTGGAAGGTGATGTGCTTCAGTTCAGTTCAATGTGGACCAACCTGCTGGACTATGAAACTAAACTTTGGGGGTAACAATTGTACCACATATTTCAAGTGAGTTTGTACCATGTTTGAAAATCAGAGAAATAAAATGTATATTGACTAGTCGAAGAGCCTTCTGGGTTTCGTGGTGGCTTTTTCCCGTTGATCTGTTTGGTGTTTGATAATTGATTTTTTTTGGAGATGGGTTAGGAAGTGTTTTGCTCTTTGTTGTTGGTGTTTGAAAAGAACTTTTGCAGAACACTGCAAAGAAAAAGAGCAAAACATTTTTCAGGTTCCAAGTGCCTTACTTAATGTGAAATCGTCTCTGCTCGATTGATGTGTGCTCTTTAATCTTCACATTAATTCAAATTAATTTCGTTTTCTTCAAGCGGCACTATGTAGACGGTCAGTAGAGGGTGCTTTACAGGTTTTTGCTTTTCATTTAAAATAGAGGGCGCGCTATCTAAATTTATAAAAAAGAGGGCGCTATGCGAGAAAATGCCTCGCATTTCGTTAGTTTTCAAGAGAGGGCGCTATTTAAAAAGCAGCATGTGTCGCTATTAATTAAATCAGCAGAGGGCGCTATAAAACTTTTTTATTTCTTTCTTCCAAAGAGGGCGCCATTCCAAGTATCAATAGAGGGCGCTAAATATTGGATCAATAGAGGGCGCCGTTTAAAAAATCAATAGAGGGCGCTAATATTAGGCGCGCCATTTTTAAAGAAGAAAAAAATTGTAGCAACTTCGCAACACGTGTGTGACGTGACCCGAGAAAGCAGGAAACTAAGCGGTAAACAGGTACAGTTGTAATAATGAAAGAAGCATACAATGCTTAGTTTGGAATAGAAATTGTGTTTAAAAGGTTTGTATGTTATTTTGGCAATAAAATTGTGCCAAAACTTGGTGCCCACTGTTTTGCTTGGGCATGATACATACATGTACATGTACTGATGTAGCAATGGCTGGGCCCCACATACTCTCGATCCTGTGAGGGTCTTACTAACATGACTTATTACCGTCAACACACCGTCAACTCCACGAACATACAAGTTTAATCGACAAAAGAGGCATAGAAGTGTAATTCTTGGACTGAAAGTGACTTTCCAGTAGTTAGGGGTCACAAATCAATTTTCAAAATGGACTTTTTTCACACGAAAAAAAAAAGATCTCTAGCAGCCTAGTGGTTCACCGCCATCTTGCCTGCACTTGGACTGTACCATTTTGGTGTGGGTATGAAGGAAATACCACAATCAACAGAGGGTACTAACAGCTAGCTGCAGATTGTTGGTGCATTGCTTGGATCATGTTGTGAGTTAGTATTTTGTAAATTTCAATCTTTTTTACTTGTGCAGGGCTCGCAGAATCGGTAGTCCGAAGTCCCGGGACACTAACCAAAATTTTTTGTCAGGCAATTAAATGTTCCAGGCTGCCAGCCTGACGGGCAAGCACCTGTTTTGGCAACTCATTTTTTTTCCCGGTGTTTTGGACATTTCAGCACCGCGCACTGAAAATGATTGACATCTTAATCTTGATGTTGCACGACTGTACATGTTCGGGTAGGTGCACCGTGGTACATACGGTTGAATTGTTGGCATGAATGCAGCCCCATCTGTATTCAGTCGTTTTCCTTGTTCTGGATCGCTAAAACTATATTCAGTCATAATACAACTCAAGTATCATCAAATTCCAATGAAATGGGGTCAGAGGTCTACCTTGTACATGTACATGTATATTTTCAAATTTTGAGCTTTTAATTTGTCTTGCAAGTGACGACAACACTTTTCCTAGTTCTGGATCGGTTTAGCTAGTTCTGGATCACTTTACACATAAAAAGTAAACCCATTTCTCTGCCAAAACGCATTGTAACAAGCATACTTTTTCGTAAAGCAAGTCTTATTTTAAAGGGGATTAGTTTATATATTAACATGGATAGCCTGCATAAATTTTGACTTGACTTTGCTACTCAGCGAGCAGTCGACCACAAATCCCCCCCATATGCCGCAAAGTTGACGAACCCATTATGTCACGTACAAATCTGTTACGCACGTGTAGTTGAGTTCATGACATACGTACATGTACTTGCATACGTGATTCGAAACTTGAATAATGCGCATAGAATATCTTGCGTAGTGAGTTACCCACCGACCTGTAATTTTTTCTGGTGTTGATTTTTTTGCGCTCCCGTGTTTTATGACAAACCATCAACAAACATCGAAGCGGGAATGGAAATTTAGCCAGAATTCCTTTTCTTAAAATTTTCTGGGAGTAAAATTTGTACTGCAAGGCTTTTATGTTACCTTTCAAAAAAGAAGTCGTCTGAGCGTGTAATGCTGCAGAACAATAGCAAAAAGGTGGGTAGGCCTAGGCCTATTCATTTCAAGCGATTGGGAACTAGGAAAATGACTGTAATTACTGAAAGCTTGGAGACCACATGTGGCTAAAACTTCCTTGTCGGGCAACTGGAAATGAAGTTTGGGCAACCAGATTTAAGACTCCCCTGCCCGAAAGGCAGCAACATTTTTTAAAATTTTGCAAGCCCTGTTGTGACTACGATCACTTCCTATTGTGAAATCTGTACGTTTTGCGGACAATCCTATGTTTCTTTATCATATAATATTCCCACCCCTGTAGCTTAACCCTAACAGTCCTCAATCCTCCAACAGGTGAAGGATTGAGGACTGTGAGGGATAATGGTATGGTCCCTGCTCCCCCAGAGGCAACATGGCTGCTGATTTCGATTTTGGCAAAATTAAAACGGCAATTTTCCAGAGTTTAACCTGTTGATGTTTAGCCAAAATATCCTTTCGAACACTTTTTACTATTGAATACTGCTTCTTTTGTTTTTTGACATGTTTTGGAGGTGTTGATGCTGTGTTGACGGTGTTTTGATAGTCCATTACATGTTGATGGTATGTTGACGGTAATTAGTATGACCGTCTCGTGACACTCATGCAAAAAGTTGTTGAATGTCGACTGAATTCATTTTTGAAATCTGTTTATTTGTTGTCCCATTTGGAAACACCACTAAACCTCTTAACACCAAGGGAAGCATTTGCTGCTGAGTGACACGTTTTTGCTGCCTCTTATTATTGAGACATGTTTCACAATTTTCAGTGTATCTTCAGTTTAGGCATGGGATGGTAGGGCTAGTCCGAGTAACTTGGACTTGGTCTTTGATGAAATTTCTCTTTTCATCCCCAATTCTCACTTAATCCTAAGCTGAGTGCATTAGACAATTTAAGGACCATTTTGGAGGTGATTTTGAATCTGGTTAAGAGCTACATGTACAGTGTACTTTGAGCAAAATGAATTAATGGCATTGAAAGCCTATAGAAGGTACCCCAGAACTACGGGGTATATGGGCATTTCTGGGTAAAAAAGGAAAATTGGCTCAATTTTTTTTCACTGAGTTTTTTAATTTGGTTGTATTTTTACAATAGCATATTGACTAAAGCTATGGAAAAAAGTCCTGAACTAATCTTTTCTAGCTTTTTAACTTGAAAATTCACCTTTTGAATAGTATGTGTGTAATTATTTAGTTCTGACATATCAAAAGAACTATTACATATTCCTCCTTAAAATCCCTATTTTCATTTTTGTGCTGGGTTAAAATTTGGATATACATGTAGTTTCAGGAGAGCATTTTCTCATTACATTTTATGACAAATTTTTCCTTTCTATTCTAGCTTTTTCAGGACAGACCCTTTGAATCAATTGATGGTGATAATGTAACGCAAGTCACACAAACAAAAAGTTAACTGTATACCAAAACCCCAGGGGTATTGAGTTTGTCAATTAGAAACCTCCTCCTGAGTGCAACCAACCAAATGATAACAACGATAACCCTAGGTTATCTGCCTAGAATAATACATCTGGCACTGAAAGTTGGTAACACGAGTCACATGTAACGCGAGTCACAGCATTTAGCGTTAGGGTAACACGAGTCGCATGTAACGCGAGTCACAGCATTTAGCGTTAGGGTAATGCAAATCACATGTAATGCGAGTCACAACATTTAGCGGTAGGGTAACGCGAGTCACATGTACATTCACATTGTTGAATAAAACCAAACTGAAAAGCTTCATTTGCTTTTGAAAAAGCTGTATGCGCCGCTCTATTTGTGTGTAGTCACTTTGCCCTGTGTTCACTTCGCCCCATGTCTCTTCACCCCTGACCATGTTACCCAATTGCCATTTCGCCCCATCCCCACAAGGCCCCACCACCACATCTCCCCTAACCACTTGGCCCTGCTGCCTTTTTACCCCAGTTGTGCTTGAATGTGTTCGAAAACTCTGGCAGAATCAAGGCTTTCTAGTGGCATGGATTGACACCACGTGACAATGGATTTTATGATAAAATTGGAATAATAAAAGAAACGATATCATATAAAATGTTCATCAAAGTTTCTCCTGTAGTCTTTTATAGATCCCCTGTAGGCCTAGGCTCTGTCTTCTCTTTCATTTTAATCCTTTCGTTTGAGCCACTAACTGACTAGTCCTTCCTGTGTGAATCCCAGTTTCTCCAAACAAACTGACTTTTAAATACAGAAATAAATGTTCTAATATCTCTCTTTTTCATCCTCCTTTAGTAATTATAATCACTTAATATAGTCAAGAATCACATAGCAACCCTAAACTTTCAATGATTATATTTTGGTGAAACTAGGCACATACCGTGTACAGTCTGTACATTTTCAGCATAGCTTCACTCCTTACAGCGCCGATGATTTCACTACATTTAGGCCTTATTGCCTGGCCACATGACTTGACTCCATATTGATAGGATGATCATGCTTATTGTAACATTTTCTTTAGCAAACTGCCTGAATTTGAATCTTTAGTTTGGCTGGGCAGATAAACTGTTGACATTGCATCCTTTAGCAGTACTCCTACGTGTAGGTTAAAACTAAACCCATACATGTAGATGTTAAGGTTTACATTGGGGGCGATGTGGTTAGGGGCAAAGTGGAAATGGGGGAAGTGGCTATGGGGCGATGTGGTTAGGAGCAAAGCGGAAATGGGGGAAGTGGCTATGGGGCGATGTGGTTAGGGGCAAAGTAGAAATGGGGGGAAGAAACTGTAAAGCTTATATTTGAAGAACAGTTTGGCTACTCTGTTTGCACGCGTCTTCGTAAAAAAAAATTAAAAATGAATGTTGTGATTAGTGTCCCAAGCATACCGGTAATGTAGATCCTCCTGCCGTGGTGAGATTTTTTAACACTCCTACACTGTACTCTTTACCTGCTACATGTATGCACCGGTGCATGTCCTCAGGCAACATTTTTGTATCCTAGAGCCCCCAGATATGGTGCACTTCGACGTTCACTTGACTTTCCTCACACAGCATTGCCAAATGTCTTTGAAAATTTACAACTCATTTGGTTATAACTGTTACAAGTACATGTACCTCCATGATACATGGTGTTGAACCTTTGTGAATAATTTCATTGTTATGAAATTGCATTTGAATTCCAAAACTGTCAGCATCCAGAAATTGGGCTCAAATTCAGCCGAGTGTTCCCAATATTGTGGGGCACAATCGCAGAGAATCCTACAGAAACATTTACAAAATCATTTGAAGTTGGTGAATTCTTGTAAGCGTCATTACTTCCACTCAAATACCCAATGTCTTTTGGTCTGGGAACCAGCTAGCATTTGCAATGCTGTATGTGCTTGTGTGTGTATGCGCATGCATGTAAGTCTTCACATCATACCGGTGCATGAGAGTTTTATTTGGGATGTTTATGACTGGAGTGAGGAATTGTGAATAGATTTTCTACAAATACGTTGCCCAATAGCACGTTTTATTTTTTAAAGTTGCATGTATTTGGATAAATCCGGACATACCCCTGTGTTTGAATGAAATATTCCAGTATTCCAGCTACATGTATATCTAAATCTACACGTACAGTACAGCGGGTATAAAAGTACATGTATTTTTAAAAGTGTAGACAAATTTAGCCATTGTAGGGTAAATTGATAACTGAATGTTAGTCGCAATGTACATGTACATGTTTTTTAAAAGTGAAGATGTCATCCAACCTGGGCTAGTATCAGTTTGAAACTGCTCAAGGTCCAGTGGTAGGGAGGCTGAATATATTTGGCAAATATATGTACTTTTTTACTCTTTCAACGCTAATGTTGGAGAGTTATGGTATTCATAAGAAACACTTTGATTTAAGTTTGAATTCCCTCAGTTTCTGACAGCATAGCAGTTCATTTACATGTAGCTAAGAAACTTACATGTAGCTCTAGAGCAGGATGATGCCAAATATGTGAGTTGCTAGTTGATACGCGAGTTGTTATTGTCGTCCGATTTGTTGAATACACGTACAATGTACATGTACATGTGTGCTCTATGATGATTTACAGTCTAATTTTCATCAGTTTGTTTTGCAAACTCTTGAAAAAAATCATATTTCTTTAAAACTTTACCACTTCTTGTCAAGCCAAGTTCATGTATTTGGCAAGTAAAATGCTTGTTAGAGACTTGGAGTTTCTAGCTTTGTTGTGAATTGGACTTCTTTTATATTTTCCAGGTTATCTAACCACCAGCATGGCTGCTTCCATGAATGGTCTACCCACTGCTCAGCATACAGCATACAGCATAACGTCCATCATTGGTGCTTCCTTCATCAGTACAGTATTCAGCCATCTTATGCCTGTCAGTCCAACAAAAATGGTAAGGAGATAACCATATGAACCACATTATGCGGTCTTACATGTACATGTACAGTGGCGCACCATGCATTGTCATTGGGTAGGTTGTGACTTCACGGACTGAATATTCCAGAAATGTACAGATTTAAAGAAAACTTGCGAGGGCATCAATGAGTCATCTACCGTTACTTTCATCAACGTGAGCCTCCCAAGAATTCTTGTCAGAAATATCCTGGAAATGAGTGCAGTTACTGTAGTGGACCAGGAAATCCTGAGGCATATGGTTTCCTTGACGAACGTCATTGAGAACTTTCAAGGATCATCACCCATCTTCGCCATATGGTGAAACGTTACCTAGTCAGCATAGTCAGCAAAATAAGGCCCGTTTGTAGAACACAACACAGTAGATAGAGCATGTTTCTTTCAGACTTCAAGTGTGAATTTACTTATTGTAGGTCTGGCAGTGTGGCGCTATGCCCTCAATGAGGCTGGGCTATCTGCCCCCCACTTAACATATTTCTAATTTGCAACAGTGCATTTTTTTCGCAAGGGGAGCCTTTAATAGTTTTTGAAGTAGTTCTTTGTAATAATTTTAACACCCAAATTGTGATTATTGAACACACGTATGGTTCTTGCGCAGCGCCCATTTTTCCGAGACGGGTCAGCAAAAATGTATACTTTCCCACTGCACTGCTCAGTGCACAAAGGCTAGCCATGTGTGGTTTTCAACTTCAAATGACTGTAATAGCAACACCGCGTATGTCAGAACCCCGGAATGAACTGGTTTGTTTGCTTCGTAAGAGTCCACAAGGCAAAAAGTAATGGGGTGGTTGTTGAGGTTGGAGGCCCTGACCTTAAACCACAGGGAGGCCATTGCCATGTGAGTGAGTCAAATCACAAGGATCTACACGTAAACTCTGGGCTATAACATTGCTCCTTCCAGCAGTGTGGACAATCTTGAGTGGATAAGGTTGCAAAATCAAACTCCACTGAAATAATCTTTGGTTCTTGGTCTTAACCTTAGACACAAGTGGGTTGTGATCAGTACAAATGATCGTTTCTCTGACACTATTTGTAATGTACACGTCATAGTGTTGTAAGGCATGAATCAAGCCCTATGCCTCATTTTCGATGGTGGAATATTTTGCTTGGTGTTTATTCAACTTCTTTGAGAAGTAACTGATTAGTTGCTCGATGCCCGATTCATCGTCTTGGAGCCAAACCGCTCCCACACCAACATGACTGGCGTCAATGGCTATTTTGAATGCCATGTTGACCTTCGGCACAGCAAGAGCGGGTTTGTTAAGATTGTCTTCAATTTCTCAAATGTATTTTGGCATGAGTCAGACCAAACAAACTTCACATTCGTCTGCAAGAGTTTAGTCAGGAGAGTACACATGTAGCAATAGTGCTGAAGTTTGGGACAAACTTTTGAATAGCCTGACTCTTCACATTCTTCACATCAACAGCATGAATCGCCATTAATGTGTGACCAAGTTTATCAGAACAGACTTTTTGCACCTTTGAAATAGGTCTGACAAATCTCTCAATTGGTCATCGCTCAAATGGTCAAGGATTTTGTCTTAGTTGGCAAGAATTTCTGAATTTGAAAGCTGAACAGCCAGAAACTCAAGTTCAGATTTGTGGTCTCATGGTCTTGATCATTGTCGGACTCAACAACAGCTATCCCCCAGGTTGACCAGGGTTCTCACACTCGTCATATGTCTTGAGCATGTTCACATGACAAACTCTCTGGCTTTTCCTTTGATCTGGGGGTACTGATAACATCATTGACATCATGGACTTTCTTTTTTACACAGTAGGGCCTACTGAATTTGCTTTAAATTGCTCACCAGGCAGAGGCAACAGCACAAGGCAGGTTCCTCAAAATATGGACCACTAGATAATGTTCGACTTTGGGGGTTCATTTTTCCTGAAGTGAACAGCCGTGAATTTCCAATGTTTGATGTAATGAGGGAAGTCATGGCTGATATTTGGAACAGTGATGACTGTGTCCATCTTTCAACTGAATTGGAGTTAATTAATTAAAGTCTCGAGCGTCAGCATTTAGACGGACATGAACTCCCTGTTGAAATCCGAGCCAATAGAATTTACTGAGGAGTGATAATCCCTGAGGTTATTTTACACAGATTTGTATGTATATCTGGTGAAAGGTTGTAATATTTACACATATTAAAACCATAATCACGAAATTAAAAAGTACATGTACATGTACCTCTCATAATTAATTGGGTCCTGAAGTCGGCTGTCAGAAACATCATTCAACTCTGTCATTAGTGTCAAAAAATCGACTGCAAAAAAGCAAGTAAAATCCATATATTGATGTACAACACAAGCTTTAAAAAAGAGTGCAAAAAAGCACCGCCAAACTATCATCCTTTTACGACTGGACCAATCACATTTTTTTTTCAAGTACCGGTACGTTTCCGAAAACTGCAGTCCAAAATACCAATTGTAGCGATTTTGCGGCTTCCATCAATCTCTCGCAGTGACGTTAGAGAAATATTTTGCTGCATCGTGGCCTGTTTGACCGTTGACATCAACCCAGATAGTGCACCCTCTTTTTCATTCGATATTCATGAGCCCCTCCACGGAATGGCGACGCTCCACGATTTTTCTCTTCGGAACAATTTTTCTCAAAAGAAAATCTGTCATTCTTAATGGCGTTTGCAAAAGAATGACGTTCAAGACATAAAATACGATTCATGATGAAAATCTAATGCTCAGAGTTATTGATTTTAATTTTATTTTTAGCGGAGTTATCTCCAAAATAACCGGCAAAATGAAAATCGCGCATGGAATTTTCGAGCACTACAGGTGACAGCATTTTCGGCATTCTTGAACATCATGCAGTTTGTCAAAATTCTCGAAAGTCATCAAATTCTGTCAAATATGACGTTCGCAATGAACATATTGCACTCATAAATTTTTGATGCAGCCAAACGTAAAGATAATTTTTGGTGGTCGAAAGATACAAGACCTGGCAAATATGTTGGTATAGTGAGAGTGATTATAAACAGTAAGAGAATGAAGACAGCCAAACTTTTCTCATCATTTTCCGTCAATTTTGTGCTCTTTTTTCCGTGGCTTATATTTTTAAAAAGTTATTTCTTAGGTGCTTTAAAATATATCAGTCGAAAAATATACTGAATTCTCCTTCTTTGTTGAGAAAAGTTTTTAAATCAAGTCCTCTGGTGTGAACACCTTGACGTAAAACTTTAAATGAATTCAACTCCATTTGATTTGCACTGGTAGCCAACCAAATGTCCACCATAAGTACATATTATGCCTAATTATCCCCATATAATCATTTTTATAAATCTGAAGGTGCAAATTTGTATTTTACGTGATCAAAGTCACTCTTTTAGAAGTTTTGAAAAATGACATCCGGAGTTGCATTTTGGTCCATTTTATGAAGAACATGCCACAAGCACTTTTTGCCAGGTTTGCAGACGCGGACTTCAGACTTCTTGTCAGCTCTAGTTTTCATTGCTTGCTGAGACACCTTGAGATGTTCTTGTGCCACGGATCAAGCTTTGGACAGCCTCTCCTTGAAGTTTGACCCATGCATGTAGTCAAGCCAATTGGTCTCGTCGTCCACTGCCAGAAATCTCTCCTTAATGAGTTTCAAAGGCCCCCTCACCTCATAGCTGGACACCAACTCAAAACGGTGTAAACCTAGTTGACTCATTCGGTGAGTCCCTTGTTGCAAACAACAGAAACGGGATGCCCTTGTCCCAGTCTTCTGGAAAATTCTTGCAGTAAGCTTTGTGTAAAGAACTGGTGAAAATATACATGCACCATTGATGTGGATCAGGAAAATGGTTTTATTCTCGTCATGTAAGGCTGTAGAAATGAAGTGAAAGTGAATAACAGAAAATGCACACGTAACATTTATGATACACAGAAAGAAAGTAAAAAAGTATATTTAGGACTGTAGTGTTGAGAGTCCCAAAAGTCCCGGTAGCCAGGTTAAAAGGTAAAGTTCAAAAAGGGTAGGGAACAAAGTTACTTTTCTTAAACTTGGCATTAAGTCCTTCGATACTACACTCCTCCTCCTTATAGCGAAATGTGTCCAAGTGGAAATATACATGTACATGTATTCCAATGTGCATCAATATTGAATGATTTTGAAGTTTGAATCCAACTCATTCTTTTTTTTAATCAACTATATAGCAACTACATGTACATGTACATGTGCTTTTTTGTCAACTAACGCTACTTACATGTACATGTATGTACATGCACATGCGCATGCACATTCAAGTGCAGGGGTGCACTGCCCTGACTTGAAACAGACCACACAGGGGACTATTCTGCCTCCAATGTGAGCAGCTGTATCCACCTACATTTTGGTTCGCGAGTTATTTATCCGTGAAGCCATTACGTTCAGGCGGGTTTCTGATACGTAAATGATATTTTCTGTCAAGTGTTGGATCGAATTGTGGCTCGATTGAAGCTTGTTGTGGTTGAGGATTATTAGAAGGATTATTGGCATGGTAGTACCCGTTCCAAAGTTAATTTCACTGTCCAAATTTGGAGAGGCACAAGCTGGTTTGACCAGACGTTATTGATTGAGGATGTGGTCCAGGTGACGATGGATTTTACATCTGTTATGGTCAAGTCAGATCTTGTAAGACACCAAACCTGAGGTACATGTACCTGTGATAATGCCTGGTAACCATTGGTGACCAGCCTTTGTAAAGTTGCGAACGAAAACGGTGTCACCAATCTGGAAAACGTATGTCTACGCACGCTTGTCATAATGCCGGTTTTGATTTTCTTAATGGTGAATGACCCGCTTTGTGACATCAGGCCAAAGATGGTCGAGATGAGAACGTACATGTAGACGATGAGCCATTAACATTTTCGCGGGAGATACTGTGCAGAGTGATCCTGTACTGAAACAAGAATGTTGTTTCAGTTGTTCCTGTTTCCATTCATTTTACAGCATGCTTGACAGTTCGCACAGCGCATTCAGCTAGTCCGTTAGAGGCCGGGTGATAGGGAGATGTGCGAATGGGCAGGATACCAGTCTTTGTCATGAATTCGTGAAAATTCCGCGCAAGCGAAGGGTATTCCATTGTCGGATACCACTTTATCCGGCAATCCATTGGTCGCGAATGCCTGTCTCAGTTTCTCTATTGTTGCATAAGTGGTGGCGTGGTTTATTGGAAAAAACCTCCATCTATTTGGAATGCCAATCCGCAACATCGAGGAACATCTTGCCTATGAAGGGGCCTGCATAGTCAATATGCAATCTGAACCAGAGGTGGTCAGACCATTTCCAGGGATGCAGTTTGCTCTTCGGAGGCATCGGTTGATCTTGCTGGCAGCTGTGGCATCTTTTGACCTCCATTTCTATATCTGCATCCATCTTAGGCCCCCAAGTGAGCCATTTGGCGATACTTTTCATCCCGGATATGCCTGGGTGACCTTCGTGAAGGCTATGGAGATCGCGCTTTCACCCTTGGGTGGTGGACCATCACTCGATTGCCCCACATGAGGCAACCATCTCGCACAGAAAGTTCTGTACTATGAACTCTGTAAGTTTCATATCCTACTCCACCCTATCGTGTGAAGGCCAACCTTCCCTCACCATGCGAAGTACATGTACATGTATCTTGGACAGCAAGGGATCACCAAGTTTGAATGTGTGATGCGGAGAGAGGAGATGTGTCAAAGTTGTCCATTAGCAGAACAGTCTTGGCGGGAACCGGGACTTTGGCAGTGAGTGGTAGGCAAGGATAAAAGACTCAGCGCATTTGCATTTCCGTGGGCTGTTGACAAGTTGAAGACCAGCGTGTAGTTGTACAGTACATGTGTATGGCTAAGGTAAGAGCCAATCGTTGAATGCAAGCAGATCGAGGTTTAAGGTGGTACTGCTCTTCTTTCATTAAAGAGGCTCAGGAGAGGCTTAAGCGCTTATGGTTGGTCACTAACGTAAAATGACAACCATAGATGTGTCTGTGAAACTTAGTTACACCAAACACGCAGGCGAGGCCCTCCTTTTTGAGCTGCAAATACTTCTCTGCCAGAGCCAATTTGCGTGAGGCAAAACCGACTAGTTTTTCTGAACCATCCGGCATTCTGTAGGCAAGGACTGCACCGATCCCATATTGTGATGCATCACAGGATACGATGACATCTTTCTTGGGGTCGCATCAACAGTGTAGCGAGATGAGACTGGTCATCAGTGTCTGTGATCAAGATATCATTGAGGTACATGTATACAGTCACGGTATACCTGGCAAAATTGTGGGCACAGAGGCAACACCAAAATGTAAGCGGTTGTAGCGGAACAAGCCGCGATGGGTGTTGATGACCACGTAGGCATGCAACTCCTCATCCAGGATCACCCGTTGATCTATGCTTGTGAGAGGTCAAGCTTGGTGAATTTAGTTCCACCCACAAGCCACTTTTGCTGCTTTAACACTAGCATATTCACTTCACTGTTCCTCTGAAAGTGTGGCATAGACTTTGTGATCCTTACCCACAAATGCGTTTTGCAAAAGCAAAGGCCAATACTTCTCTGGCCAATCAAGCTTTTTGGCAGTTTTCTCAAAAGACAGGAAATATGTTTCAACATCCTACTTGCTGAATTTTGTCACCAGCCTCACATTTTTACTAGATCAAAATCAGTTGAAGTACTCTCTTTCCTTTTGTTCTTTTCAGCACTTAATTCCAGCTGTTTATCTTAAGTTCATGTTTGAGTTCAGGGTAATTCCACCGTTACGGGCGTTACATTCATAGACAACTTCAAACACTTAATTGATAAACAAATCTATTTGCAATTGGAAGAACAGTTTATTTCTTCTCACACTTGTAGAAAATATGTTAGTGTTTAACATAATTGAGTTCAAGCTTAATTTACTTGTCTTTCATTTTCCTTTTCTTTTTCTCTTTCTTGCCTTTCAAACTCAAGCCTGAGTCTTTCCTTGTCCAGCTCAAGTTTGGCAAGCTCAATTTCCTTATCGGTAGTTTGCAGAGACTGGGGCATTTCTTTAAATGATCAAATCGAGATCCAAGTACAAGAATTTGTGTCTTTTCAAAGTTGGGGTGCAGAAAATTACGTAGGCATGCACTTTCTCATCCAGGATCAGCTGTTGATATGCTTGTGAAAGGTCAAGCTTGGTGAATTTAGTTCCACCCACAAGCCCAAGTACAAGAATTTGTGTCTTTTCAAAGTTGGGGTGCAGAAAATTGCGACTCATCCATGCATGGAAGTGGCAGAGACAGTCGTGCATCTGGTTAAATGATGTGGGAGTATCAGCATTGGGAGCAAACACTACCACATTGTGGTTTCTGGCAATGTCACCCAGGGGCAACGTGTACGTTGTAAAGAGAATGGGACCCAGGACAGAGCCCTGTGGGACTCCACAATCAAAGGACCGCAGGTCAGATTCTTTGTCATTAATGTACGCTATTTGATTCTCAATCTGTGAGGTAAGACTTGATCCATTGTAGAGCTAGACCAGTGATGCCAAGCCTGTCATATAAACGTTGCAATAGAAGTTGATGATCTACCATGTCAAAGGCAGAGGATACATGTATATCAAGGAGAACAAGAAGAACTGATGGTTGTCACTGGCAGAATATTCTGCAAGAATGCCTACAAGCTTGGGTTTCTTCACTCCCTGCGAAATTTCAAGATGAAGAAATTTACCAATTTCATGCAATGCCTCTTTTGTTAGCTAGCTGTCGCAGTTTGTCGAATGACAATCTTCTTGTGCATCAAACTTAGCCATGATTAATATACAATCAGTTAGCAACAACACAACAACCTTGTTTGACAATGTGAAGAAGAATTTGGCTTGTTGTTTCTTTGCAGGTCAAGCCCCCAATTTGTTACCATCCGAAAAACTCCAAACAATGTTTAATTGTTCTAAAGCTTGATTTTTCTCTGATGCAACAAAGAAATCAAACCAAATCACACTGATACATGTAAGGAATAAATAAACAATTATGATTTAATGAGAATGCTGCACTTACATGACGCTTGTCAACAATAAGGATAACTGTGAAATTGCTGATTTGAACTAGTTTACAATAATACTCAAGGATAAAGAATCAATAAAATATTTTATATAAAAAAAGTTCTTACAGGCAAGAGCTTGGCAGGCACTACTGACAGTGAAGAATGCTGGACTCTACATATGGCAAAAACTGTTCACTCCTTGACGGTCCAAAATTGACGACTTCTCACAGCCTGTGTACAGTAGAATTGTTGCCCAAAATCTCTCGAGATGTGTGTCACTCTCTAGCTCTTTTGCTCTCTCTCACTTTGTCTGCCAGGGTCTGTCTTTTTAGTCTACAACTCTTCTGGAAATTTCTTAATTTCTTCAAAGTTCTTATTACATAAATTTCTTAAAATTGACTTTTAGCATTACGTACTTCATAATCTTACAAGAAACTTCCAGAACATCCACTGGAAAACTCAAGATACATATACATGTACACTGTAACTCTGGAATACAGTGAGGTCATTCATTGTAGCCTGAGGTCAAATATGGATCATGCATAGTCTGGTGTGCTACCATTAGATCGTCTGTTACATGTACAGAGACTGCATGTGTAGACATAACACTTTGTCTCTATGACCTTTGTGCACTACCTCCATGCTTTGTGCAGCTACATAAACCATGTTACCCTTCAAGAAACTTCATTGTACTTCATAATTATTTAGATACATTGTATTTGGTTTTGTGTTTTTTTTTTAAGTATGCTTTTAAGTTTTAAACTGAAAGGAAGCTGCTAATCTGTCCTTTTGATGCATGGTATTCTCTATCATGTCTGTCAAAGCTAAGAAATATTTGTAGCTCACATACGTGACAACATTTAAGTCAGAAAAACTAGCCATAAAATTAGTGTCAAGTACATGTGCTTTAATTCAAAGGAAAATTGAAGGTAGACTTAGACAGTGCTGACTAAAAATTGTAATTGTTCTATCACCGTGGGTCAATACATGTGTTGAAACGTAGACATTATGGGGAACGAAAATATTAACAAGAACAAGTTTGGTTGACACAGCTTGCTTCCGATAAGTACTCTTAAAGAAATTGCCCCTTTCACCCTCCTTCTGCTGTAACAGTGTCGGCAGGACACGGACTCATACCGTAGGCATAGGGGTCATTTGACCGCTGGTAGTTTTGGCTGATAGGACAACCTTGTCGAGAATGTACATGTATCTTTGCATCCGAGGTTAATGCAATGAAGGCCTAACAGCAAGATTGCTCTTTGCATGGGCACTGTAGATGGATCAAAATGGAAAAGACACCTGTGCAGAAAGATAGTTTTTGCTTCCGGGAATCTTTATTGCAAAATTTCAATACTTTTGATTTGTTCAGCAATCTTGGCTTACGATGTCGATGTTGGATATTTTTCTGGCGATTCGTGATAATGGTAAAGTTTGTAACTGGTACAACCTTCATGATAATCACGGACTGGTGCATTGTCTGATATCCACTACCTTGTTGTGTGTTAATTGAAGGGGGAAAAAACACATTGATCACTACTGAGAGAAATTTAATAACTTTTTGCCTCTAATGAATGCAGGGTTTTGCTTGTTAATCCAGACACTCGGCCCTCTGTGATATAAACCAAATCACATTTACCTACATGTAAAAGAGTTTCTAAAAACACTGGGGCAAAATAAATGAAACTCCAAATTCAACCTTTCAAAGTCCTTGTGTCATGTCACTTTTTGAAACCCCTAGATTTCTAGTCTGTAAATTTGGAACTGTTGGAGACTTGGAAGCCCGTTTCTTGTCCACAATTCCAAAATGAATAATTGCCTGAATTTTTCTTTGATTCTCCCTCAGACATGTCAGATTGATGAGAGACACTGCCTTCATAGATGTCTACAGGAGGGCGACCCTCTCCAGTTTGGACAAGAGTTCTTGGACTTTAAAAGGTAAGATTTTTCATTGTCTAAACAGCACAAGGTTTTCTGGTCAATTTTAAGAGGTTTTGTTCAGTTCTGTGTGTTTCCGACTCCTCACTCCAATCTTCGGGTGCGTTCAAGCGAGCTACTCCTTCAAACACGAGTATACTCATGAGCACTCGAATGGCTGGAGTACAGCCCGCTGGCCATTGAGAGTGTACTCTTGCTAACAATAACAGGAGTAACTGCATGAACGCACCTCTCATGTCGGCCTAGGTGGGATTTGAACACGGGTCACAGGGTTGGAGAGTGAGGTGTTTATTACTTCACCAGTCTGGCTCCCTTAAGTTCCTACTTACGGTTCCTAAATTTAAATGTCCTGGTACAGTACAATGCCGTTATACTGAATACTTCCATACCAAAGTATTACATGTAGGTATACCAAAAAAATTCCCCCTTGCTCTCAAATTTTCCGCATACTTTACGAAGCGTTGAAAAATTTAAGTACTAAAATATTGGGAACTGATGGTTCAAGGAAAACCTTACTTTCAAAGGAACTACAGTCAACACACAGCATAGTCACTAATTGTGGACCGAACACATACAGGTGGCCATGTAAACCGGCCACCAAGTACTGGTACCCGGTACATGTACTATAGTACATGTACATTGTAATACAGACCTGTGACCTTAATGCAGGAAATCATACTTTGCATCAACACTACAAAGGCGTTTATATGTACATGTAGATGGACAGCTTACATGTACATGTACATTTGTGACTTTACATCCCAGAAGTCATCATTAAATATTTGTTAGTTTTGATTGTTTTCAACTTTCACTACTTTTTAACGGTTCCCATGCAGCCTACTCGTACATGTATTATACATGTAGTTCCGATGTAGCAGTGGGAACCAATGTAACCGCCTTGTGTGGTTACAAAATTTGTCAGTGATGACTTGAAATGATTGAATTTAATTGAAAACAATGCAAACTTACCATACATGTACTGTAATCTGGAAGGAAAAGATACATGAACCTTGAATAAACTGCAGCAATTGTTGATCGTAGTGTTTACATGTATTGATCAGATGATCGGACACAGGTGTTTGAATTCATCAGGTGATTGCTCAAATGAGTCTTTGTTTCTTGCCTTGTTCTTTTTCCAATCAAACATTCCCTGTGGTTTTTCTTTCATGCTACATGTACTTAAGACATGAGCTAAAACCTTGAACATGTACATGTACCAACCCAGATCCCGAGTGATGTATATACATGTACATGTACATGTACTCCAACGTCATCAGGTGTCATACAACAAGCAATTAATTGTTGACATTTTTTATCTTTAAAAATTTATACACAATCAATTGTGGGATACCTCATCTCGCATTTTGCAGCAATTGATTAGACAAGTTTAGGTTATTTATTTTTTCTGTGTTCATAATATCAGCTAAGCAGAAACCGGAAGTGCCTTGTAATTTACAATCGGTAATACCTGTAGATACATGTATGTACTTGCTTTTGAAAGTGTTAGTTCCCGGTGTCAGTAATGTCATGAAATACTCAAGCACCCTCGAGGTCCAAAAAATTTTTAAAATGCTTTTTCAGTTGATGTCTGTACCGAAGTTTGCTGTAATCACTTGAAAACTGGTTACTGAGAGAATATGTACAATGTACATGTATGTTACTAAGGTATTAATTTTTCTATTTAGTTTTTGTTTTGTACAGCAGATTAAAAACAGGAAAATCAACTAAATTTTTTGAACTCAACACCTTCAGTGGATTAAGCTCATGTACATGTACATTTTAATAGGGAGATTTATATGAAATATTTTTTTACCACCAGGGAAAGAATATGAACAAGTCACTCCAGTAGGGGAGTAGTGAATCCAGAAATACACGTACACTGTATATGTCAATTCAGTAGCTTCAATGAACTCATTCACAAGCAACACATCAAACCCAATGAAAAACCTCCATATTCTAAGAGATGACCAACTGGTATTTTGGTTGTACGGTATGTCATGTGAATGTTTTGAGACATCGTGACGGCATCACAAACATCATCATTTTTATTCCACATACGTGTACGGGCAAGCTGTAATTTGTATAAAAATCAGTTTGAAGGCGCATACTTGCTCACAGCCTATTTGGGATAACATGTTTTAAATGGGGTAAAGATGAAGGCGTCATATTTACATGTGCATTTTTTTTTCCCAAATGAGAACTACTGGTATACAGAAATCATTTCTGACCAATAGTTCATCAGTGGTCAAATTGGTACAGTAGGTTTTTTGGCAGTTTCTTCCGGGATCAGTGACATCATGATTTCTTAATCCTATGATCCTTTGTCAGTTTGAACATTTTGTTACATTGTCTGAAAATTCTCTCCTGACTTGTCTCCGTAAATGTAGAAAAGCCCTGTGCGCTGTTTATCAAAAAGACACAGGATCTCTGTGATTGAATTTGATTTTATCATGTACCTCAGACATGTCACATGTATCTTGCACAAATGATGAGGTGTTCCAATGATACCAATCAAATGTCTGCGACATCATCAAACCAAATCACTCCATCACCTCATGAAACACATCCCATCTAGTTTCCACTGTCATTCTGGTTTTTCTTTTTGTGAGCAATGATTCGCATCAGTTTTCTTCTAAACCAGTTGAGATATGATTTTGCATTTTAAATGTAAACCAACCCTGAACGTACATGTACATGTAAGTGGTGCATATTACTCTGATGTCATCAAGTGTCAAATAACGAGCAATTGAATTTTGATATTTTAACCCTCCTTCTGTAACCGTCAGAAACAATCGAAAATTCCTTCCACTTGATTTTCCCCAGTACACAGACACATATGGGAAATTTGACTGGTTTTGACTGATAGGACAACTGTGTCAAGATTGTGTCTTTGCATAGGAGGTTTTAACCTTTAAAATCCACATAAAATCAATTGTGAAATACGTAATTTTTTTGCAGCAATAAGTAAATTTAGGTGTTAAGTTTTGTCATAAATGTAAATGTAAAATCACTTGACCCTCGCTGGTCAAAACCAGAAGTGCCGCCTTTTGAAATACTCCGTAGGTGAAATAACAAAATTATTTTCAATGGTGTTTTAAATCTCCCACAGAAAGATAGTTTTGTTTAAAACCGATCATGGTGATGTCATGAAATAATCCAGCACCCTCTAATGGCAGATTGACCTGATTGAAAAATGTAAAAATGCATTTTCAGATGTTGCAAAATTTCTGTAATCCTGGGAAATACATGTACATGTAAGTAGATGCTGGTATACAATGACCTTTGTGCACTGGCACATAATGCAGTGTAAGGTTTGAGATCATGACGCGATTAGACCAAAGTTGCAATGAAAAGACCTTTAATTTGTCAAAACTTGCTAAAAAGAGATATAATCTTCAATTGCCCTAATTTAATATGATAATATTGGCATTGACCTAATGTACCTACATATGTATACAATGTACATGTAGGCATATTAGGAAAGTCCCGCTGATGATGAAAAAAAAAAATAAATAACATGGGTTCGTCACTTGCACGTTAAATGCCTTTAACATTACAATCTGCTGAGACATGCTGTGTGTTCTCAGTGTACAGCGCAGCATGAAAGCTTGTACAGACATGTCACGGTGACCTGTACTGTACTTACTGTACATGAAATGCCTGAGCTTGATAGTTTAAACTATTAACATGATTAAGCCATCAAGTTTCACAGTACATGTGGGTCATTCCATCATGTTGGGGCACAAATTTGTGACGGTGTCAACAGTTACATGGGTTCCGTCAAAATGAACAGTTATTTCCGTGAATATTGATTCCAAATTGACATTGTGATACATCGTGCAAGACTGAATACAGAGGTGTGTGTTATTTTTACAGAGTAAATGACCTACTCTACAGGTCATGACAGACGGTAAAAGTTACCGATGTAACAAGGACACCGTCCCAAATTGTGCCCCAACCTCATGGAATGACCCATGAACTATGTGCACTTTCTCTTCGGGAGAACTAAAAAGAAATCTCTCTGGTCAATACTGAATCAATTCTTAAACTGGTATCCTTCATGTAGCATTGTGTTCAGTGATGTCATGATTTTTGTGATCCTGGGATTCTTTGCTGCATACTATTTTAAGCCACGTCGTCACTGGACTAGAAATTGTAAGAAGTTACTACACCCACGTGTACTTGGTAACATTCCATCTTGGTTTTCCTTCCATGCATCTTCACATGGATTACTCAGACCCGCAGAAAGTCTATGACCATGCAGCAGCAAATGCTTTCAGAATCTCACGAGGGTGCCCTCCAATTGACCTTAAACTCTGACACCCGGATACGGCCTCTGGAAAGCATATGAATTATGTTTCAATCGCTTTGAAGTTATTAAGAACCAACTCAGTAGGTTTGTTTACTAAAACCTGTCCAAGGAATTGCACCTTGCATCTCAATCTTTCAATAAAGTGGTTCTCATCGTTGCCGTTGCTGGTCGTGGAGCTATAGACACAAGCGTTTCACCCTGCTCCACAGAAAAGAAAATCCAGATCATTTCCCAGATATTCTCCATTATATCGATTGATATTACAAATCAATAAATGGCCAAAGTAGGGCTCATCATTTGGCACAGTCATGACGGTAGCTGTATGGTTGCGTTCATGGGAAACAAGAGGTCACAACCCATTGACCTGCAAATGGATTTCAGGTGATCAAAATCCACCAAGTACATGTATTTCTTCTGCAACCCCATTGGCCCTGTAGAACTTCTTTGACAGGAATGTGAAACTTATACATATACAACCAATGATCAACACAATGATCAGTTTTGACAGTTTTCTGGCTGTCTGCATTGGATTTAATTGTGTCAAATTGACAACAGCCTCCATACGTTTTCCCCAAAAAAGCTCAGTGCAAACATGGCTTTAATTACAGAGTCCATTGTCTAAACATTTTCTCCTGGCATGTGTCTACAAGGAACCCATGCAAGTTTCGTGGTTTTCTAAGCCTGTAATTTCAGAAAAACCTTCTGTTCCATTTAAAACAGTTATAGAAGCTATAGCATTTAATCGGACATTGTCATTTAATGTACATGTGCATGTACATGTACCGTATGTGTGTACTAAAGGGATATCAACATGCATGTAACTTGCACAAATGGTGAGACCAAATAACCTTTTTTGTGAAATGTAACCGATTCTCTTACACATCATGAAACCCGAAGTTTTTTAAATGCTGTCCGTCAAATCCTCATGCACTCAGAGTTGAGGCAGGCAAGCACACATTTGCATGTACATGTACCATGGTGGGCAAGAGGTGTATCAGTGAAAAAAATCACTTTGGTACCAAACATTTATTGTGGACCCCATTTTGATTGTTTTTAGCAGCATTGTACTGTGGTGAGAGCTTTTCTCCTTTTGTGCACATTCTTAAAAATCCATAAACCAAAAGCAGATTTCACTTAAGACAACCCAAAATGTAGATCGTGAATTTCTCTTCATCCCTTTCATCATTGGTCAGACAACTTTGTGCATTTAATTCACCAAAGATACTACAGGTATGTGATCTCATGGAAGGCCTTCAATTTTGGAAATTGTGAAAGATGTTGGATATGTATACCGTTTGTTTTTTAAATTCGTTTCGCAAAGGTAAATTTTGCCTGGTTTCAGCAATGTGCTTGTTTTTATTTCCTGTTTTCTTTTTTTCCCTTTTCACTCCAACTTGCTCATTCACTCGCCCACCACCCAACCCGCCAAAATTTTTTTTGATGTAGTAATCATCACCTCACAGCATTCACGGTTGCCAAATGCTGTCAACTGAAAAAGTAGGGCTTTGCTGGCAGAATTGAGCATGTCCAGTGACCTCTTCCCCTACTCAAATTCAAATTTGACCTGCATGGCTAATGAGGGCTGTCAAGCTGCTTGCAGACAATGCTTGGGCAATGCCATTTCTTCAGGTCTATGGCTTATGTAATAAGGCACTGGTTTTCTATAGTGAAAAAGCAGCATCCAAAAAGCTAACACATTTCTGTAGTGCATCATACAGGAAGGAAAAGACATACATGTACATGTACCTGGTGTTTTGATCTGAACTGAGCAGATAAAAAGCTTGAATACTGACAAATTGCCTTTGTATATCTACCCTCTCAATTTATTGGAAACTGCCAAATTACATGCAATTCAAATATAAATCTTTAAAAGTTTTGAACAACTTTAGTGTTCCAAAAGAAAGTGTAAAACTGTGCACAAGTTATACATTTTGTTGTTAAAGCACACACACAACACAACATAATTAAAAGTCCCTTCATTTTTTTACTGCTTTTCAGAACTCCCCAAAGAGTGCCTAACAGCAGTCTACCCTCATCATGCTACATGTACCATCAGCAGAAGTCCAGGGATCAGACGAGGTTAGCATGCACCTGCTCCACTTTGCTGCCCGTGCTGGTGGCCATTAGGGAACACAGCACAGGTTGGTGGGCTGCATCAATGTTACATTGGTTGTACTTGTGACCGGCGGAGCAATGAATTCAGGAAGGTCAGAAAGGGGTGAGTTGTTATCAAGTCATTTTCTTCTTGTTTCAAGAATGTTTCATGTCACTTCATACATGTACATGTACTGTAGATGCAAGGATCCATTTGGATGTTGGTTAATTTTCAAAAGCACCACAAAAAAATTTAAAGAGGGAAAATTTTGCGCTGCAGATCTTGACCACCAAAATTCGGCAATAGAAAAACACAAAGTGCTGTATGAATTGTCAATTTATTTGGGTTATTTTATTCTCTAGCGCCCGCAAACATGTACACGTGTGATTTGTGGTTATTTGAATCTCAGGTTTTGGGGTCAGTTTAAAGTCAAGTTTTACATCATAGCAAAGTCGCAAGTCAAGCTTTATGTTGGTGTGTTTTTACTTCATGTGTTTAGAGTAGACAGGTTATGTTGAGCTACAGGAAATACACTCGGCTGTACAGTTCAGAGGAGACGGAATCTCCTCCAATCATTGGATTTTATTGATGAGGTCCTACTTCAACAGTCCAAATTATTCTTAAGGCTTTGCATTCACATTTTCCTTTGTCAAATAGTTAACCAAAACGATAACTCGGTTCCCTCAAATCCTGTTTTCAGTTTCAAGTGTTTTAATCAAAGTCGTTACAAAACTGATTACTGCAAGAACTTGTCATATACTGTAATGAAAAGATTTTGAAGAGTCTCAATACTTGTTAGTCAATTTCATTTAACTTTATTCATTTTATTTTGGAAATCTTCCATTCTGGCAATCAGTTAGCACTCTCTCATGCCCAAAGGTCCATCTTGCCTCATCCTTCAGAACCTGCAGTCAGAATAAAAAATACAAACTTTTAAGTCAGTAAAACAAACTGGAAGCAAATTACCATCTCATATTTTTATGTTATCATTCACTTCTTGTTGTTTGACATTCACTGGAGATACATGTATGTAGTGCTGGCTTTTAATTGAAGTTTCTTCCCAAACGTTTCAAGATTTAAGACAACACTTAATGCTAAATGAAAGTTGGGACCTCATCAATAAAATTTGATGCATCTGAGGTAACTCAAGACTTTTTTAACTGTACGACAAAAGGTATTCCTTGGAGTTTGACATTGCTTGGCCAACTTAAAACACTTGAAATAAAAACACACCAACATAAAGCTCAACTTCTAACTTTGTTTAGGTATAAAT